TGAATATAAAAGTGAATAAACAATTTTGCCAAGTTCATGTATAACATTATGCAAATAAAAAATATAAACATAAGTGTTTTAACTAAATTTTAGAAATAGAAAAGTTTTAGCAATGGTTTGATTATGTTTTGTTTATAACATTAAAGGTTTTATAATTTTTTTAATAATTACAAAAGTTCTAAGCAAAAAATTAATAAAAACATCTATACTAAGGTTTTAAATAATTATCTTATACTATTTATAGCTGCAATTTATTTGTTAAATAACCTTTATCTAATTTTTTAGCATAACAATGCTTTGCTTTATAAGGTGTCAGATTAGTTAAATTTAAAAAACATTAAATATATAAATTGGTTCTTCTAATTCTTTGATCTTAATCTTATAGAAAAATATTTAAAAGAATCATAATGACTTTCTAAGAAATAAATTTAATCTTAAAATAGCCTTACAAAAAGTATGATCAAATTTGAATTATTAGTTTTTTGTATAATTGCAAACTTAATGATATAAAAAATTGATGCTATTGTAAATGTAAGAGATTACTTAGTAAAGTATTAAATAAATATAAAAAAATTTAATATATATACAACCAAAATTAAATAAATAAAAATTTTATTTTTTAATCAAAAATTAGATGTTACTTTTGTTAGCTACTGTACATAGCCTATTACTTATTTTAAAATATATTATTTAATAATAAGTTTAAAAAAACCTTTTATTAACTAATTTATTTATTTTTTATAAAGTTTACTTAAATCTTAGTACTTATACTTACTAACAATTTAGATAAATTTAAAACTTCTAAAAAATAATTGTTATTTAAAAAAAAAATTAAATTAAATAAATAATTTTAAAATTTTATAAATATATTATTTATAGCTATAAAATTATATTTAATTTATTTAAATATTAATTATTAATAAAGTTTTTTAATTTTTTTAAAAGTAATTATTTTTTAAAAGTTTGAAATTTGTTCAGATTTGACTGACAAGTATACTAATACCAATTTTATATTATATTTTTAGTATTTTAATATATTTTTATTTTATTCTTAATTTTTTTAATTTAGATAATCTATAAAATTGTAACTTGTTCTTGGTATATTGAGTTTAGTTTAATATTTTTTTAAATCTAAATTTAGCAGTTTGATTAATTATATTTTTTATTTAGAAGTTTTTAGTTATCTGACTTCTTTATATTAGTATCAGTTTTTTAGATATAACTTTACAATTGTATTTTAAAAGTTTATATTACTTTTCTACTTAGATCTTTTTAAATAAATTTTTGTTTTTTTTAATTTTACAGATTTATATGATCACAAAAACTTATTTTAAGTCTATACTATCTAATACTAATTTGCATTCTTTTGTATAACTAAGATTATATAGATACTTTATAATCCGTTAGTCATATTGATAAAACTATATTACAGATATCTTATTTTAACTGATCAACAAAAAATAATTATTGTAATACAAGTAATTGTTCAAATTTTTTTACTATTTATAGGTTTTGAACTCCTAATCTGCTATTTAAAAGATATCAACTTATTTACTTCACTAAGTTATTACATCTTAGAAATTATTTTTTTAAAATTATATTATATTGATTATATATATCATATTATGTAATTATATAGAAGAAATTCTGTTAGACCACATCTATTATATAATTACTAGATTATGCTAGATAAACTAAGTGATTGCAAAAAATATTTAAAGTTTATTATAAAAAAATTTAATATTAATTGTATTATCTAATTTTAGAAACTTATTAAAAATTTTAATATTGCTAGATTTGTATTTAAGCTATATGATTACTTTCCAAACTTTAAGAATCTTGCAAGAATGTATCTTTTAACCATTATGCCATATTGGCTAAATCTTGTAAAAATCTTTATACAACAATCCAAGTCATTATGTGTTATAAAGGTTTATACGTATCAACTATTAATTGATTTGCTATTAAGATAGTTAAAAAACGATTCATCAAATCCATTATTAGGTAAAATGAATAATCTTGATATTCGGTTATCGGATAGAGTTTTGCAAAGAACGAAAAAGTACTAAGCATCCCAAAATCATATATTAAGCCTTCTCTCTCTAATATACTACAATAAATAAGAAAATAATAAATTTTGACAATTTATCATGACGATATAATGCAATTTATTTAACAATTGTTACGTCAATCAATTACAGATTTGTTGTAGTATTGAATTTAAAATCAACTTGATACGTATTAATTTATCGATTATTTTAGAATCAACTTAGGTTGCTTTTAAAGATGAGCAAGGTAATTTACTTGTTACATAAAAGTCAAATCACTCTATGCGACAATTTAGTATATTATTAGTTGTAAGTATATATCATTAATAGATTGTTGTATAGTATGTTTTGACTTTTACGTATTACCTAGTTCTAAATTTCGTATTAACTCTATCTGTTTTCCAGGCAAATTTTCTTGGAATTTTAAGTAAAAGCCCCTAACACTAATGCATGACCGGAAGAACCTGACCAATCATTTGATAATAAAATTTCCAGGCAAATTTGCCCAGTGGATATAAATGTTAAAGATCGACGATCCCAAATTAGCGTGGTTTCCATCGCATTACGATTAAATGCTAATTTAAGATAGTCGATCTTAAACATTTATATCAACTTTTTTTTAAAAAAAATCGAGCAAATTTGCCTGGAAATTTTATTATTAAATGACTGGTCAGATTCTTCTGATAAATTAGTATTAACGAACATAGGCACGTACATACATACACATGTATGTACCAAGTGACCATAATATTGCAAGTGTCAGGCACGATAACTATTAAAATAATAATGCACGTGACTTGCACAAAACTCGGTTATGACACAAATAACAATAATTCTTAAGGTTAGAACAGTTCAGTATTGCGGCACAACTAGTACGTAAAAATTTTCCAGGAAAATTTGCCTGAAAATGATCTACAGATTAAGGGATACTTTATATAAAAAATATTTTTATAAATAAAAAATTTTTATTTTACTAAATATACTAGTAGTATTCACACCACAATCGGTATATTTCAAAAAAACTAACTCAAAAACCTAAATCAAATATGTACATTAAGTAACTTTCAAAAAACCAAAATTTGAATCTTTATATCTGATTTCTTTTTTTAGTCTATAATTATACCAGAATCATAATTTTTATATATGGTATTAAACACTGCTAGCATGCTTTAGTATTGTAAAAAAAATAAAATAAAACTATGTAGGTTAGAAGGCTACAGATATCTTTTAGATATGGTGGTAGTTGATAACAAAAAAAAATAAAAATTATTAGGCATTTCTATGGTTTTTTTTAATAATGTAAAGCGTGGCACTACATAATATATAATTTTATTAATGCCATTTGTCTAATGTTTCGTCATCGGTGACATGTTAGTCAAATAATTGGCATGATTGTAGTAGCCTATCACAGTCACAGGTTTTAGGCGCGTTTGTAAATTTTATCATCTTTATGGTTTATCACCTCCACCATTCATTATCATTACAATTCAATACTACTAATGCTAATATTAATGAGATAGAGATCAAGATAATGAAGTTTCAGATTTTGGTTTTAGGTATCCGACATTTGTGGATTATGATTTTCAAGATTTCGTAGAGAATCTAATAGAATTATAGAACGTTTTATTAGCCTCAGGGGAAGGATTACAAGGATGCTTGAAACATAAACCCACATAAGATGTATTACTTAGTAAGATTGCCGATATTCGAAACGAAGTACTTGCTGTAAATACTGTAACACTAATTTTAGAAGTACGGAGTATCTCCCCGACGAATTAATCCAGCAAAATGAATAAACAAACATATTAGAGAACGGAAATGCCAAACTTTTAATTCTAATACTTTATCAACTTGGAATTTTAATATGTATTACATACTGATACGGCAATATTACAACGTCATATAATACATCAAACAGCATTGCATCACGTGTGCCGCAAAAGTAATATATGTCACTTAAGAGATACAAACCTTATACTTTATAAAAGTATTTAATCAATTTACATAAAATTGAGTACAAGAATTCATGTTAGTTCTTTGGCTCTAATAACATAGCGATAGGAATACTTTCTTCGAATTCCAAATTCAATTTGTCACGGATGATCAGAACTAAATGTAGAGTTACACAATTTAAGGTGTGGTTGCTTTTTTATAGAAAAGGTTGTGTCATCAACTTTAATACACACTTATTAACCTGAATCATCGACACAAATCATGCAAAAACAATGTCATTATACGTACATATGTGCATGTTCGTTTGTTCGTTTATAAAAAAAAAAAAATACTGCTAGTAATAGAAAAAGCGTGGCATCCACAAAAGGCAAAACTAAATCGTACATGTGTTATCGTCATCGAATGGTCAACCGACATATTAGTGTTAACGTTAGTGTTTAAAATTGTTTACAATATTCTTTTTTTGACATTCACATTTACATTGCATTTAGTTAAAACCACCAAATATTCACTCTAAAAGCTGAATATATATCTATATATATAGACATTCGGCAAGTGCCAAAGTCTAACTCAAAAGTCATTAACGGCCGAACCTCTTTTTTAAAAATGAAAACAATGATCTTTCCTATATTTTTAGAAAGTCCATGATGCCGGAGTTTCACAAAGTCATTAAGAATGAACCAAGGAAGATTGGGAGTTGTTGTCCCGAGATAAATATAACATGAAGGACGAATTACACCAAGAATTCGTTTTCCTTATTTGTCCATGTAGGTTCATTATCCCATGAAGAATTATCTTTATAATTTGTGTACTAATACCTGCACATGCATATATACACAAACAAATTAAAAAAAAATAACGAATATACAATAAATACAATAAATACAATCTATACAATCTATACAATATATAATTATAATAAATATATGTTATTTTATTGAATTTTATAAAAATAGGAAGATTACCCGAATTATTTTAAGTTTTTTTTTAAAAAAAATAATGGTTAAGAAATTATTAAATGTTTGCAAGCGCGCAATTAAAAAGTTAAAACCACGTAAACGTGATCAAGAAATAGCACAAGAACGAAAAGCATCATGGCCATTATGGAAGAAAGTACTACTGCGGAAACGAAGACGAAAACAGAATGAAAAGGCCGGAACAGATGATACAATTATCCAAAACAATGATGATATTGAAGGAGATCGTATTCAGAATAAAATTAAAAATCCAGTATCATCACCATCACTTCCTACGGAATGTTTGATTGAAGTATTTACTTATATACAAGGTGATTTAAGGACTTTAAATGCATGTCTTTTGGTCTGTAAAGAATGGTGTAATATTGTGGTTCCTCTATATTGGAGCAGACCATTCCATCATAAGGTTTCCGCGGATGTTGTAAATACATATCTTCAATGTCTTTCCAAACATGAACAACAAAATATAAAAGCTTGTGGTATTAAGTTAAAGCAAAATATGACACCACCTACATTTCGATATGCAGATCTACTACGAGAACTAAGCATGTCAAAATTGTATTTCTCTGTAAATGCCTGGTTATATATATTTCAAAATCCTACTTTGTACGTACATGAGTTTTAATGATATTTTTAATATATTACTAATGTTAATTACAATTGATTATTTAGAAACATTGCGAATCAAAGAAATATAATATCGTATCAAATAAATATAATATGTCGAGCATTATGTAGATTATTTGTAAATAGAAGTCAGGGATTATTATCACTTTCTCTAGATTGGTCACATACCGGAAAATGGAGAAATTATCCAATGTTCACATACCGATACCATACCAAGAATTCATCAATCCTTTTAGATCTTCAATATCTATCAATCAATCATGTAGATAAACGCGATATATTCACAGAATCATCTTGGTATTGCAAAAATTTAAAAACTCTTGAATTAATAGATTATACATTCTTGGATCTTTCAGAAACTCGACATCAATCAATTTATACATTAATCTCATCTCAAACCAATTTACAACGTTGTAAATTTTTTGGGTATGGATCAAGTCCAATACGACCTATGGACGCATTAATGACACAATCTAAAACACTTACTCATTTTGAATTAGTTTATGCAAAATTTTATACTAATAATTCACATGATACGAAAAATTCAGACCCAAAAAATTCTATAAATGCATTTCAATCATTATCAAATTGCACAAATCTTGAGTCACTTGTCATTAATAGTTGTTTGTTTTCAAGTGATATAATCTTACGACCGTTAACAACAGTAAAGTTCCCGAAATTGAAAAGATTACATTTTAAATCTTTATTATGCAATGTTAGTACAAGTTTTATCGCGATGATAAAAGCAAATTCAACATCCTTACAAGATTTGTGGTATAGTGACAAAGTTGCTAGGAATTTAACACTTCCAATTCTAGATGCAGTAGTAAATCATCTAGAGAGCATCACAACTTTAAAACGATTAATAATTCCATTCAAGAGTGAACAAACACCACAACTTTCCTTACTTTTATCAGAGTGTAAAAATTTAACAACTTTGAAATTGATTGGCCCTTATGGGCAAGAACGTGAATTTAAAGAATATTTACCAGAGTTAGCGGAGGGATTACCATTGTCGATGAAACATTTGAGTATTGATTTAAATTGGGTAGTATTGACAACTCTAGAAGAATTCTTTGAAAACTGTAAAGCCGATTTGGATACATTTTATATTGGAGGTTGGAAAAGACAGATGCCGGACGTTCACATTAAATTGATAGAACAATATTTAAAAAAGAAAAAGAAAGGGATAGACATTTTTAAGTTTTTGAGGGACGTTCATGGATAATTTAATTACGCAGTCAAATTCTTTTAAATTTGACACAAAAAAATAGAATTACTAGAGTAATATTTTAAATTGAATTTTTTTGTTTTCTCATAAATGTAACAACAATTTGATCATTATCGATTAAAAAAAAAAGAAAGGTTATCATAATTTATTTCTCTATTTCTTTTGAATTTGACACGTTAAAATTAGAGCTTAATAAAATAATATAAATGAATAATGAACAATGATTTAATATTGATAATATCAGATAATCAATGTTGACCAGAAACCCTTTGACTAATGACCGACCGACCATTAATTTGACCAATACAAACTTTTTGTTCATGCAATGTCTATCTTAACAAATATCAAGGTGAAACGAGAATTATTTGTTATCGTTATCTGGTTTGGTGTCAGCTTCCGAACCCAGAAATGTGGTTTATGATGGTTGTGCGTGGTCGTGTTTTTGTCAGTGATTACATAAGCCGCCAAATAACTAAAAGAATATTTTTTTATAGTTTGACTATGTGTATTTGGTCGATCAATTTAAAGAGCCCAATTAAAAAGTCAAATACCCATACTTTTTATTGTAAATATAACCCAGTGTTACCAATTTGACAGTTTTTATATGGGAATTGAAAATATAAACATAAACATGTGGAAAACTTTGTATTAGAGCACGAAAAGGTGATGTCCCAAGCAGTCGTACGTAATACCTGGTCTGACCTTATCCAAATCATTAAAATAGGTCTTAATTTCGTAACTATTGTCTTTATTGTAATAGCAGATAGAAACCTCCATATGTTACTGCCTTTCTGATGTCTGCAGACTTAAATTAAACTCATAACGAGTTATAACCCATGATAAAAGTTTATTCATTATATAATGTTTATGATACTCTTTTGTCATGTTGCATAGTCAAACTCGCGAACTGGACTGTTGAGTCTGGAGCTTTAATCTTTGTGAGTGACTAAGCATGAGGTGTTCCAACTAAGGTTAGCACTAGTGGTGCATTACGATTAGTGATGCAGCCCAAGCTATTTGGGACATCCAAAACCATGTGTTAATTAGTATCACATAGTTTCGGTAATAAGTAACAAATGATTCGGGACGTTCTAAATAGTTTGAGTTACATCTATAGTGGTGCATGCAAGAACCAGGCATGGGTTCTGTGTTTAATAGTACTGTGCACTTACAACGTCATGATGTGTAAAATATGCAAGATTTCGTAGGTAGAGTTAACTTTCAATAAGTTAAAATTTGATAATTATTTCTGCCTAAGCCTCTAATCTTAATACTGTAACTAATCTGGATCGTGCACTTACATTTGGTGTTTCATTTTAAGGTATCATCAAGGCAAATAAACTTTGATTTTATCTCGGTATGTTTTTTACTCACATAATAAATATATGCATGTGATAAATAAACCGCATAAAAGACGTAAGGGCAATAGCTATACACACTTGCACCTAAAGATGTACCTCACCATCATCTCGCAAAATCGTAGGTGCGACAATTTTATCATCTCACGACTATGGATGGTCAAAGTAATCTTGTAAGTAATAATGACCTATGACTTATCATTTTACTTAATAATAATATTAAATAATATTAAGTAATCATTACAGTCTATTACTTATTACGTATATATATGAAACACACGATAACAGCCGAAAAATTGCTGTTAAAAATAGAATGATCGTAAAAATTACTTGTTATTACCTATCGCAAAAAATCTTAGATAATATGAAGCAATATTAAGTAAGAATACATGGGTCTTTGCCTTGAAAATGACCTTATGGGATATAGTAATTACTATGTCCCTTAGGGTCATTTTCAAAGCAAAGACCCCACATATTAATTTTGCCCATCTCTAACTTGCACCTATTTAGTTACAAGTTATATATTATATTACCGATGCCACATTCTATTGCAACAATAAGTTGCAACCCTAGTTGCGCTATAAAAAAAAGTCGTATTTTATATTTTCTGTCTACTATTTGTTTTTTTTTTTTTTTTTTTTTAAATATTAACGGTGAGGCTCTACTATTTGTAATAATCATTCTTTTTTATAAATTAATTGACTTTGGTAGTTTCTTGCTCTTGTTATTACCAATCTGATATACACAGTCTTATATACCTTCTTAGTACCTAATTAGGCACAATTGGATTTATTGAGATCCAAATTATTAATCTGCAGTTTATCACATATTCTTTTTCAGTTATACTTTTATAGTTGGTTTATTAGCAGCTTAATTATATATGCTTTTTGCAGGTTTTTTTGTAAGTGTACTGTCAATTACATACTGATATATTATTAGTTTGATATTGCAAGAAGGTCTAAAATTTTAACTTATTGCATACAAGTATAGTGTCTATTATCTAAATTGTAATATATAATTGCTTTTGTCTAAGAGATTTTAATTCTAATTAAACTAATTCTTTGCTATAACTCTTCTTTGCATGCACTGCATCACTTACTACTTTAGTTATAACTATTTTATATTACTTTTTTAATTAAGTATTTTGCAAGTTAGATACAGAGATGTTAGTGTTATTCTGTTTACTGAAAACTTACTTGTGTAATACTGTTATGTAATTAGGCATTTTTTGACATTGCTGTTACATTTAGTATTTTTTTTTTTGCAAAGTTAATCTTTTTTTAAGAATTTTTTTAAATCTTTTATTTTGAAATTTTTTACTAAGCTTTATATCTAATTTGGTTTTTATTTAGATTATAGAGTTAAAATTCTAAGATTTTGTTTTTAGTTTAACTTAAACTATTAGTCTAGTTTGTAGAAACTTGACAAATTTACTATTAAACTATAGAGTTTAATTTTAAAAAGTTTCTAATTTAAAAATTAATAAGTTTAAAACAAACTTAATATCTTTTACAAATATAATTAAAAAAATAATATTTTCAAAAAAAATTAAATTTTAAAAATTGAAAAAACAAAATTATATTATAGTATTAAGATAAAGTATTACAGCTAATAACATCTTGAAAATAAGTTTATACTAAAAAGCTATAAACAAACTTAAATTAAGTTTAAACAAGCTTATTTATAGAAATTTATTATTGAAAAGAAAAATCTTATTAGAAAACTTACTGCTTTACTTAAAAATATAATATATTATTTATAATATTACTAAATAAAAAACAAATAACAAAAATTAATAGGTTTATTATATATTAAATCAAAAATAACTTCAAAATACTAACAAAATATTTTATCTTTTAATAATTTTATAAACAAAAAGTTTTATAAATACTAATAGTTAACAATATATTAAAAATTAAACTAATCTTAATTTGAACTAAACTAATTTTAAGTAATCTTTTGTAAACAAAATAAAAAGAAAAAGAATTTCTTTTATATTTATTTAAAAAATAATATTTCAATTAAAGAAATGTTTATTGTACAACAATTTAGGTTTAAAGCATGGTTTACAAAATAAAAACCTTATATTCTAGTATAAAAAAAATAAAAAAAAAGATATTTTTAAAACTCAATTAACTTTAAAATTTTGTAAACCTAGAAATTAAAAGAGAAAAGAAATAAAAATATAGCAACTTAATGAAATAGATAAGTTGTTATTCTTCTAAGTAGTAGGTTATAAGTTTAAAACCTGCTAGAAATAAAAATTTAAAAAATATACAGTATAATCTTGATATAATGAAGCTTTGGAGCTGAAGATTTTGCTTCATTATATCTATATTTCAATTCATCAAGATTTCTTAATATAACAAATTTATATATGATTTTATAAAATATTCAATTTAAATATATATATCCTTGATATAATGAATTAGTATATAAATTTTATAAAACATTTAATATAAATAATGAGTCCTGATGAGAATTTATATCTAAATTAATACAATATTTACTTATAGGCCACACAATATCGATCTATCTATTAATTTACATAATCATTATATGTGTAATTATTAATTTTATTATAGTAAGATAAAATTAAAATAAAACTTTTATTTTTATCATTGCTTGTAATAGGCATATATAGTACTCTTTATATGTCATCTAATTAATGAAATCTGTTAGATTATAGAAAATTTTTAAATGTAATGAACAAATAAAATGCTTTGTTAATAATCTGTACAATTTAACAAATCTTCAAAATCAATCATTTCATCTTTACCCATCAATATTTTTAGACCAAAATTAGATGATGGTAAAGGTGGTAAGCATTACATCTAAATAAAAAACCATTAATGCAATACAATAAATAAGACCTGCAAAATGATGAGTAATGCCAAGCAAAACATAAAATAGTAATCAAAAAAATTACTATTCTAGGTTTTTATTTGGCATTACTCATATATCAATCTATCTTAAACATAATACTCTGTTCTATAATATGTCTTAGTAGTAAATGAATACTGAAAATAATTTTTTGCATAATAAGTTTTTGGTTTGTTTCTTCATACTAATATTGAAATTACAATAATGTTACTTTATATTTACTGTAATCAAAAATTTTAAAAACTTGGTTGAACATATTTTTAAAGAAACAAATTGTAAAACTTTAACTTTTGAGAACTCAGGCCTATAGCAATAATAGGTAGAAGAATCTTCAGAATTTACAGTAAATACTGCAGTATTAGTAGAAGTGTATAATAAGGAAGCTATATTGTGAGACTGAACTTTTTGTAAATGCAATATGATAAGTTTTATTCTATAAATAAGCTACTGTTTAAAGTAAAGTTTAGTTTTCTAATAAGCCTTTATTGTAGTACATTAATCAGAATAAGATTTGTTATAGACTAGTCACTAAGTTAATTTTTTTTAAAAAAAAAAAATTATATAAAATATTTAAAATTATGATTTGAATTCATAAATTGATTGGTCTAACAAAACAGTAGTGATCTATTGTAATAATACCCATTATATAAAACAGAACTGCAAATAAATTTTTGATATATAAAGTATTTTAGAATAGATACAAAGCTATAAGTTACTAAAAACCAAATACTGTATAGTATAAAACATATATATCAT